ATATACCTCCTTTGCCTATTTATGAAAAGCCAGATCTCCTTAGTATTTGACACGTTTTTTACCGTGCTATTATCACAGCAAAATCCATTTTCCTAAAGGACATTGACAATTTATAGCCAGAAGAAATTCCAATGGGATTCCCGTGGTCCTGATTCCTAGCTATCATTCTTAATCACTGACTCAGTAAAGAATGTAATTGAAGGGTTTCCTTTTGCATGAATAAAGTAGTTATGTGGATGTTAGAGTAGTGTAGTTGCATTTGCTCCTCCCATCTTCCAATACATGCACTTAATCCTAAAACACTGGAAGTAATGCAGTCATTTGCCCACTGGTAGCACCTGACTGGTGATCTCATATTACCATAATAGGTATGCCACACCTTGCTAGCCTGTGGATACCAGCCTGAATGTCTGGGTATGTCGGCTTGGTAGAAATGGTAGAACCTAATGTATATGACACCTGGAGATGATTATTATTTAACATCCCCCCTCATGTGCTCCTTTATACATCAAAATTATTTTCAGGAATAATTATGAAATTAAACAGAGATAATAGCTTGGATAATATGGCCCTCTAAACAGTGGTCACTTGGCAAAAATGGAAATCCTTAAAATACATGGAACACAAATAGGCAAATACAATTGTTTCTTTTTTGGATATTGTTTCTTTTTTGAGCTCCACCGACATGCAATCATGAATTCTATCAGCCAGTCCGTATGAGTGAAAGTTGTGAGTGAGACAACTTTGTCTATATTAAGGTTTTAAACTACAGAAAGGTGGAAGTTTAGTGTCATGTGGTTGTCACTCATGTACAATTAATTATATTGTTCAATAAAATGTTTTTTAATTAATTAAGTGGCTTCTCCGACCCTTTATAACTACTTTGGCATGATACCTCTTTTGAATCAGTACCGAGTCTTTTCCAGTAAACAAATACAATACACAGGCAACAAACAGTCAGTTACTACAAGCAGGCACTCATTACAATATGTGGGAAGCAAAAGGCCAGCTGGAACGGTATGAAGGAAACAAATGGATTATTGTGACAATACACAAGCAACTTCTCCAAGTCCAATTCACTCACCTCTAAGCAAATATTCATTGTCTCTCCATTCTTAAGCCAAAGTCTCTAACCCCCTCAGGAAAAATCTCCCCCCCCTCCGTCTGCACCTAGCAAAAATCTCAGAGCAGTGTCCATCACTGAGTGAGGGGAAGTCCTCACTCTGGGATGGGCTCCAGGCACATCACGTCACATGTGACACATCAAAGCCATGAGGAGCCTGGTGGGACTTCCATGCACTCTGTGCCACTCCAACTCGGAGAACTGCGTAGGGCAGAAGCACATTACCACTAAGCAAGTGCTCCAACACAAGCCATAGCTTTGTAGCGACCATTGCATAATAGTAATTTGCAGGGTAGGCAGCAGGGGCAGTCCCAGAGCAACCCCTGTCTAGTTGTACCTGGGGCAAGGTTTTAACATTGCAATAAAAACATACATTTATTAATAAATATAAAAATTAAATAAAAATAAAAATGACTTTTTTTGCAATTTATCCAAATCCATTCACAAATAAAGGTTCCTGAAAAAATAT